TCAATGCTTAACTTATGGTCTATAACAAAACTTAATTTTTTAAAATAGTCAATCATCATCAACATATGAGTGTTCACCTAGAAACCCCCTATCATTTTACAAAAAAAAAAAAAACAATTTCTTAAAGTTCTCATACTTCTTAATCCTTCCAATCGTACCAAGTGACTCTTTAGGATGTTTAATTATTATATGTACATCTATATTTTCATGTTGTGTTTGAAGTTCAAATGACATGTTGACTAACATTACATATTTAGTCTAATCATCATTTTCATTAATATGATGTTGATATTCAGTTCTAACTTCATTATCAACATCCTTGTTAAGAATATGAGAAATTAGATTTTCAAGAATATATAACCTTTTTTCTTATTTGAAAACAATTTTCATATTTTAGTACTAATCTAAAAAGTTTAGTTCAACCAATTTGTCAGCATCAAATATGTTGTGTGGGGACATATTTGTTTTTACTGATGGTAATCTATCAATACGTTAATGTAAAGATGAAGAGTATTAGTTTTAGGCATAAATATTTATAACCAAATATAGAGAAGATCTTTAATCATAATTTGATCTCTCATTATTTTTCTACAAATTAATAGCCATCACTATTAATTCGAGAAATATCACTTAAATCTTCTAATGTGCTAGGAACTCGTTTAATTTATATGACCTTAAGTAACTCAACAAAATAAAATAATTAAATTAGATAGATAATATAACTTATTAATTACATCTTTACGTGATTTCTAAATAAGTTAAGTGACAAATGTTTACCTAAACATATCATATATGTTTGTCCTAACTACTACTTATAATCTTCTATAATCACAAGTAACTCATTCAAATCAGATAAGTTAGTTAAGTAAGACCTAATTTTATAGCATTAAACATATTCTTAATAGTAAACTTGAATAGTTCAATAATATAACTCTAGTTTATGTATATAAATTTAGAAGAAAACAAATTATATTCTTAACATGTACGTGATGATTATAGATATATCTAAACTAATTTTCTTAAGCCATCGAAATGAATTAATAGATAAGAAACTAGGTAGCTAATGCAAATTTTCATAAGTCATTTACTAACATCGTGGTTGTATTTTTTTTGTCATTTTTTCTTTGTTTTGAATTGTAAAATAGATTTTTTATTTGAATTCCTACATTTCAAGAATACATAAGATTTATATAACTATATAAAAAATCTTCAATTATATTTAAAGGGAATTATATGAGAAAATAATTTTTTTTTAAAAAAAGGATACTCATGCCCTGTTAAATATTATAACTATTAAATGATAAAAACACAATCACAATAGTCTTTAAATGTCCATAATTATCCAACATACATAAAAACATATTAAATATGCATAATTATATACATTGCATGCTTCAATTTTAATTATTGGCTTTATGTGAAAGTTTAAAATAATATTTCTAACATTTAGAAAAATTAAATTAAATAATATTTCTAACATTTAGAAAAATTAAATTAAATAATATTTCTAACATTTAGAAAAATTAAATTAAATAATATTTCTAACATTTAGAAAAATTAAATTAAATCTAATTTGATAATTTCCCAAATATAATAAATCATATTGAAACTCTTATTAATATCCTGAACTATTTTAAGATCAATTAGATAAATATTTTTGCTTTAAAAAAATCTCTTTATTTTAGAAGAACTATTTTTCAAATGTTATTCAATTAAACGTTTTATATTAAATTTAAATTCTATTAGGATATTACAAAACTCCAAAATTTTGAATTTACTTTTTTAATTCAATCCTAATCCAATTAGGAAAATTTCAACAACTTTAATTTATGTTTCAATTTTAAAATATAAAATCAACATTTTATATATATAGGGGTAGAGTTGTAATTTTATTTTATAGATGTCATATTATAATAAGGAATAAATTGAGAGCTAAATATATAAATTAAATCCCAAAAGCCATTATAATAAGTTATAAATGGTTGGGTTACCTTTAAAAACCCAAAATAAAATAATAAAATATATAAGGGTAAAATTGTTTTTTTTTTCAATCATCTTCTTCTCAGTTGTTACAGTCGATTATGGTCTCACCGCTGCTAGCAGTATGCCTCGACGGCAACAACCACGATTTTGTTAGTCATCATTAACACTGATAGTCATGTTGTCGCGGCCAACAGGAGCCATTATTTACCAAGCATCAACCTCCCATAAACAAGTTACCCAACGTAACTTTTTTTTTCTTATAAATTTCGATCAAAATAGCATATTTTGACAAGATTTAAATAATCTAACAAGATCTGGTTGGAATAATAATTAAATTTAAAAACAATCATGAGAGAAAAAAATTAGAAAAATAATTTTGCACACAAATTTAATTCATAATTAATGCCAATAAAAATTATAGCATGTAATCAACAACTCTAATTTTCTAACAATGGCTCTACTATAACTCTTGGGTTTCCTAAAATACAATGAAAATGATAAATTAAAATTTTTTTCGAGAGTCCTTAGGATCTTATTAGATATATCTAGGGTTGTTTAAGGCTTATATGAAAATTACTTGAAAATTAAATGTTCTTTTTAATTTTTAATAATTATTTTAAGGCTGGGTTGTCGAAAACCATAAATCGTTCAAGTGTTCAGTTTCTAATGATAATCCGCATAAACCAACAGTAAGAAATCTAATAAATCTTTTTTAAAAGAGAAAGATTACTATTCTTTTGAGTGATAGCTCTTTTCTTTCATGTTTTCATGTGTTTTGTAACTTTTAGTTTATGTTGAATTTACTAAACAAAAAATAAAAGGCATAATATTCTATTTATAAGAAAATATAAAAATTTTATAAATGATAAAATATTAATTTATCCCTTAAATAATATCATATTTATTATTTCAAGATAATTTTAGAATTTTATTTATTCGAGTCCTTGTTTTTTTAGTCTTGAATTATAATTCCCTATATAAATTACATTCTACTCCTTAATTTCTAAAACTTATTCACAATCACGTTACACTAGATTAATAATCTCATTTGAATTCCTAACCACTGGTTTTTATTTGTATGACCAATTAGGTTTCCTATTAAATTCGCCCAAACATAAATTATAATTCTAAATAAAATATGGTTAAATAAATCTATGTATTATCAAGACAAAAATTGATTGATTTATATTTTAATATCAGATATAATATTTAGCAAACTATCATGGTCCCCTAGCTATTAAAAAAATCATAAGTGGTATGATTTAACCTCTTAATAACTAGTTTCTTAATATAATTATTATTCATTTATCAACAACATTCTAATTTAGACATAATAACATGGAGTATGTCTGCTATGTCAAATCTTGATTACTTAAATACCATCATATAGTTTATTTTATACCTAATACATGCACATTTACTTAAATACCATCCTAGTAAAGACTAGGATAATATATAACAGGATTAAAACATAATATTTTCTATATAAGATAACTTAATGATCTCAAGTTTACAAATCACTTACATAACTATCACATGAGTCTTTCTATAAACATGGATAATTTCTCAATATAAGATTTTCATCATAGTTATTAAATCTGACATAGGGGTTAACCTGGCCAAAGGATCCGATCCCGGGTCACACGAATTGACCCTAGTCAACTCGAGAAAAATTAAATTTTTTTAAGATTTTAATATCTCACATGAAAAAGTTAATAAACATTTTATGTGTATGTAACACACACACACATGTGGAAGAGTTAAGAAATATTTCATGTAGATAGAAGCTATAAATATAAATATCTCATATAGAGAAGTTAAGAAACATTTCATAGAGATGTAAGCTATAAAAAAAAATATATGAGGCCAAGTATTCACAAATTAATTTTATTTTTTTAATGTTTATTAAAAAAAAGTAAAAAAAAAAAAGTCGATCTAACTCAAGATATGCCATGTCACTTGGGTTTTATCGAGCTAATTACAAGCCTGAGTTTAGATCATTTAAAACTCGTCCAAGGTCTAAGGTCCCAAGTCAACCCATCAGGCTGGGTTTTATGTCTAAGATATTTATATTGGCCAATTCAATATACATATTATTTGATAAACATCTATGTATTAGTTATAGATATCTTTCATATCTCAGTTTATGAAAACGACTACTTCCTTTCATAAATAAAAGAATATGATATATATAAGTATCAACAGTTCTAATTAATATACAATATTAATAATATATTGATTAAGAATATTTTAGAAATAATATTTTGATGCAAAGCTTTGACTTTGATATGCGATCATAGCCCATGTCATTATTTTATTAGACTTTTTATAATTGATTTTAAACTTTTTTTTTATTATTATTATTTTTACATGTTGATTTGAGTTGAAAGTGCAAATTTAATTTAATTATAGACATAGGCTTTTAGTTGATAATCGGCTTTTCAGCACCAACCTTTTCCTTTCCTGTTAGGCAGAATGTCCTAATGTCAATTTAGGTGAGATGTTGAACCTCTCTTCCAATCTCCAAATCACCTCTTCTAAGATTAACTAGAAAATCCCAACAATGAACACACAAATTAGGGTACTTGCAGACAATTCACAGCAGAAATTATTAGATATGTCAGTTAGTTGTAATTCTCTCTCACATAAACACGAATTTTATCCAAAAAAATTACAAATCCTACTTCTATGTGAAAAAAATACAATTTCTGATATAGATGTTGAATAATTTCTCGGAACTTGGATGCCCAGTTGTGGTGGTGGGCTTCCTTGTGGGTCATGTTTGAGCATTTCCTCCATCAATGCTGTGAATCTTTCCGTAACTGGTGCAATTAAAGAAATGACCAACACAATCCCATGCTCTCCTTTCCTAATATTGAAAGGCACGTAAGAGCCCCTGGCACCAGGGATATTGTCCAGTTCCCAGGCCTTAGGTAGCCCGTTGTAAAGTAGCTAGCCCCATCCATAGTCCACATGATCAAAACCTAGTCTTCTAACGTCTGGCACAACTCCAGTCCTTAAGGCTGGCGCTTGATCACCATTAAATCTGCCGAAGATCTCATGTATTCCTCAGTTACTACAGCCTTGGCATCCCTGATCAACTCTAGGGCATACCCCAATGGGTTTTGACAAAGCTCACCAACAGTTGTTAGAGCTACCGGAAATTGTAAGCAAGCCTTTGCCTTGGGATTTGATCTAGATGCTATAGTATAGCATCTCCACGCGCATGCACTCAATACTTGAAAGGTTGTACCAGTACTTAAATGAGAAGGAATCATTGTGCCAAGGTTGGATAGTTCTTTGGGGCTAATAGAGAAACTGCGATGGGCCACGGCATCGAACTGGCGAATGTTATCTTCGGCATCATCTTCATCATCAACGTCTTCATTGTGTGTGCATGTAACGCGGGGTGTAACCCTAGCATTGAGCATATCCCTTTCCCACACAGGAAGAATTGAAGGAACATCAGCTCCCCTTGCAGTGGCGGAGCCACATGGGGCATTAAAGGGACAATTGCCCCCTTAATTTTTTTTTAATATTTTTAATATTAAAATTTTAATATAATAATTTAACAAGTTTTTTTTTTTGAATTATTGTTTATACATCTTTTTCTTTTACAATTTTTTTTAATTCTAAATTATTAAATTGTTAAGTAATTTTTTATACTTTATACTTAATATTTTAAGTAAGTTTCTTTTATTTTTTCTATTTATTTAATTTTTTAATTTTAGTTTTTATTCCTGAATAATATGATAATTTATGGATTTGTTAAATTAATATATGTATGTATAATATTATATATATATATATAAATATAAATTAAAATGAGTTTTGATGAATTAATATGTATTTTTTTTATGAATTTTATATGAAAAATAATGGTAATCAGTGTACTAGTAATTAAAAATAAAGTATTGAATAACTAAAAAAATATGAGATACAATAAAAAAAATTAGAAAAATATATTAATATTTATATTTAACACTTATGTAAAATAACAAATTAACAAAAAATCGTTGCCAATAATTTCACTAGTCCCTAGAAGATTTAGAAATAGATAAATGAAAGTTTCATTGTATATATTGAGAAAAAATATCTTTAATGAAATTAATAATGAAGTCATTATTAAATAATTTTAAAATATAAAAACTCAAAAAAATAATTATAATATAAGTTTTTTTATTTTAAAAATATTTTTAAATTAATTTTACTTGACGTGAGTTAATACATACATTTTAAATTAATTTCTCTATATTTAATACATATCTATATAATATTAAATATTAAATATTTATAATATTTTTTTTATTTAAAATTTTCTACTTCCGACACTGTACCCTTCCCAACTAGTCTAGGGCAGAGGAAAACTGAAGCACAGTAATATCATCACTGATTGCGTGGTTAGAGCGGATGGCAAGCATAATAGAGACCAGGATTTTTTAGATGATTTCTACATGTGTTTACCCTTTTATCAGATATATCAAAAAAAAAATTAATAAATTCTTATATAAGTGTTGGATCTCTATTATATCTAAAAACCTTGAAAGTGAATAAATCTTCTCAACAATTAGGTCAATCTCTGAAGATTATATTGAGGATTCCCCGCTGAGAATGGTAGTTAGGGGGGGGTTAATTTTCCTTTAGAAGTGCTCCATCATTAGCTTTAAGTTAAGGCTTTTATTTTAATTTGGAATAAAACCATTGAGTTAATGTGTTAAATCCACATTTAATATTTTTCGATTGAAATCAGAATTTTTGTTTATTGATTTCGACTCAAAATTGCATCGAGATCTTGAGAATATAAAGGAAGAGAGAATTAATTATGTCTACCCATAAAAATAAAAAATAAAAAAAAAAACCCAACTACCACCCTTAATATGCAACAGTGGGCTGTTAAGGAACCCTTCTTTTCCCGGCACTTTGGAAAGTAAGTTCTTCAAAGCATGGAAACGGAGGACGAATTGGATCTCCATACTGATGTATTTTCTTGTATATAATTGTGAGCATTGAAATTAAACAAATATATATATATATAGGTACAATTTTTATTTAAAATTTTCTTATAAAAAATAAACAATTCTCTAATTCTTCCCTTAAATTTCATATATAATAACTTAATTTATTTGTGAAATCAAATCAATATTTATACTTTATAAGAACAAGAATTTAGATATATATTTTAGAATAAGATTTGATAATTTGATACTTTAAAAAATATTTTTAATTTATTTTTAAAATATTATTGAAGAAATTTTAAAAAGCATTTAAGGTCGATCCAATAGAGCTTAATATAGATGAAGAAGGCTTGAGAAGTTTTTAGATAGCTTTCTTATTTGAAGTGCTTGTCTTGAAAAAAAAATTATGTCTTCAAGAATTTATTTATTTTTTTTATCTAAGATGAGGGTCTCTATTTATAGAGGTTTGTATAAACTCTCGAGTCATTTTTCCCATGCCACATGTTATTAATTTATTGATTGATTTTTATGTATGAGATCTTATATTTATAACAATATATTTTAAATATTTCATCTCATGTGTCAACCTTTCATTGGCCAAGAGATATATAAAGGTCCATTTATTTTTCATGTCATTTATTTTTATTTTATTTTATCATTTTATGTAAAAATAAAATAAAAATGACACATGATAGAATATGATTTGTAGAACATTTTTTTTGTTTCTACATATGCCCTCTCAAGACAAGTTCACGTATTGTTAAAAATAAATGGCAGGTCTTGAAAATATAGTTGAGAGATTTTTATACTTTTATATATTTTTTTATTAATATTTGATTTGATCATATTCATTTTTCACAATAAATAGATATATTTTATTGTGAAAATAAGATATAATATATATAATATATTTTTAGAGAAATTCAAATCAAATAAGATAAAATGTAATTGATATTTATCAAATCAAATAATAAAATCAAAGTTTAGTATCCTATTTGAAATAACCAACAACTTTGATAGACTCATCATAGGACTTCTTTCTTTTATTGAAAGTGACTGTTATGAGATCTTGTTTTGAGGATCTTGTTGTCTTGGTGTAATCTGTTGATGATTTTGATTAATGTTCAATGAGTTATGAACAATCAATGAAAAGTTTTTTCTCTCTCTTTCTCACTCTTGTCTTGGTTTGCATCCCTCTATTTACAATTCTTTTCTTTTCTTTATTGTAAGAAAAAAAAAGGCTTCATTACTTTCTTTTCTTTATTGTAAGAAAAAAAAAAAAGGCTTCATTGCACTAGTGTAAAGAGGAAAAGTGAACAATATGCAATAAACTCACTTGGCATTCCTTGCATAGATTCAAAACTTTTTTTCTTTTTTTACACAACTTAGGACCTTACACAAATTAGGAATTTTTTTCTCTTTTGGTGATTTAATTTTTCCATAGTATTTGGTGACAATTGTTTATTTAACGACCACTGTTTTTCTATGAGACCTGGTGTGTGAACCATTTCTCAATAGTTGTGTTTTTTGGAGAGATGTTCTCAATGATTGTGGATGTCAAAGAGTTGTTTCTCAATGGTTGTGTATATCGAAGAGTTATTTCTCAAAGATTACAGAACTTGAATAGCCATTTCTTAATAATTATGGATCTCGAAGAGTCGTTTCTCAATAGTTGTGGATCTTTAAGAGTCGTTTATCAATGGTTATGGATCTCGAAGAGTTGTTTTCTCAATGGTTGTCGACCTTAAAGACCCATTTCTCAATGGTTGTGGATCTTGAAGAACCATTTCTCAATGATTATGGAACTCAAAGAGCCATTTGTCAACGATTGTTATGGAACTCAAAAGGTTGTTTCTCAATTATGGTTGTGGATCTTAAAGAGTCATTTCTCAATGGTTGTGGATCTTGAAGAGTTATTTCTTAAAGATTATGGAGCTTAAAGAGCTGTTTCTCAATAGTCAATTTTGGTGATTCACAAGCTCCTATCAAACACGAGAGAAGCTTCTTTTTTTATTTACATGTTTTATCCAAGTATGTACTCAAATATTTTCTTTTTTTTTTTTTGTAAATATCATTATACTTGTAATCTTTTTTCCTATGCTCTTATGTCATGTTTATGTTATTAGGTTATCCTTTTATTTTTACTATGCAAATAATCAAATAGGTAATAGTTTCAAGAGGTGACGTGACTGTATTTAGAATGATTTCTAAATTGTTTATGTATCTTTGTGGATAAAGGATCAAGTCACAACTTAATTCAAAGTTTTTTTTCTTTTTTCTTTTTTCTTTTCTCTTTTTTTTTGCTTCTTTTTCATGAGGGTACCTAAAACAAGTTTTAAGTTATGCACATATCTTTGTGAATAAAGGATCAAGTTATAACATATTTCAAAGTCTTTTTTGCATGAATGTACTCGGAACAAGTTTGAAGTTGCCAACATACCTTTGTGGATAAAGAATCAATTTATAACATAGCTCAATTATCATATTGATGGGTCCATGCAAGCTAGGAGCTACATTAAATTTTAAGTATAGTATCTCTTTAAGAATTTTCCATTGATAGGCCTAATCCTCAATCCATTCTCATCAACAATTTTGTAAACTCTATTGGTACTCAATCCATTCTCATCGACAATTTTGTAAACTCTATTGGTGTAGACTTTTTAAACCACACAAGGTTCATTCTATTTGGAGAGGAATTTATTGTCCATGTTTTGTGATAGATTTGTAGGCATTGTTTTGCCAAGACAAGATCTCCTACTTGGAATAAGCAAGGCCACACCTTCTTATTAAAAGCTTTGTAAAGTCAGGTTTAATAACATTCTAATCATTATTATACATCAATATATTTTTCATTTAAAGTTTCAAGTTTTTTAAGGCATAAATAAGCATTGTCTTCATTGGAAAGTCCTTATTAGATTGCAATTTTTAGATATGGAATTTGACATTCTAATGGAAAAGGAACTTCAATATCGTATTCCAAGAAATATAGAGTAGCTTGAGTTGGCATTCAAAATATAATATGATAAGTCTATTGTGCTTCTCCAATTATATCATGTCAATCCTTTGTCGAGTGATTTACCATCTTCTTTAGACATTATAGCATATAATACATCTATTTTGTTAAATTATTTTAGTTCTTAACACTATAGTAATTGATTCTTTGAATATGATTTAAAACTATTTTCAAATCACATTCCACCTTGGCCAATAATTTTACAATCAATAATATTTAAGAACATGTGAAACATTTTTTCTAATTCACCTACAACGATAAATCCTCTCTTGATTACTTAAATACCTTCATATAATTTATGTTATACACAATATTTATCTATTTTTTACCTTTAATTAGAACAATGTGTGATCAAGATCAAAACATAACACTTCATATATAAGATAATTTAGTGATTTCAAGTATAAAGATCACTTACACAACTATTACATGGGTCATTCCATAAACATAAGTGATCGCTCTATATAAAAAAAATTTATCAGTCAGTTTAATGAACATATTATCTGAAAAACATCTACATATTAGTTACAGGTATCTCTCATACCTTAATTTATGAGAGCAATTTCTTTCTTTTATAAAGAAAAAAACATAATATACAATGGTCTCAACAGCTCTAATTAATGTCTAGTCTTAAACATCTACATATTAGTTACAGGTATCTCTGATGTCTTAGTTTATGAAAGAGCTGCTTCCTTTCATAAAAAAAGAAACATAATATGCAATGATCTTAATAGCTCTAATTAATGTCTGATCTTAAAAGAACATTAACTAGAAACATTTAGAAAAAATACTTTGATGTAATATTAACCTTATAATTATAATAGTTTCTTACATAGAATATTTTTGTTTTAAGAACTTTAACTTTACTATAGATTCATTAATCAAATATAATTAAGTTTTAAAGATAAAAAAAAAAGATCTTTATTAATAATATAAATGTTTTACATGAATTAAAATTAATGCTACTTATAACCATTTAATTAGTTACAGAGCATATTTATTAACAAATTATTCCATTATTCTCATCTAAGTGTTCAAGTTAATTACTTTCATTATAATTATAATAATTATAATTATAATAAGAACTTTGATATTCATTTTCAAATATTGTTTTTTTAATTGAATTCTATTATAACCTAATTAGATGAAATTAGATTAAAAATTATGATAAATATACTAAATTAAAATATAGATAAAAGACTAACATGTAAAATGCTAGAAAAATACATGATCTGTACAAAATTTACGAGTTTAGTCTTAAAGGTGTGTCTTGTAATGATGAAAAATATATGTTTGATATATTAAGTAATGAATTTGGTTTTGTTTTTTAAAATGACGGGCTTGTTTAGTTTTTGAATTATTTTAGATAATATAAATTGATTTTTTAGTTTTTCTTGTCTTTGAGTTTTAATTCCAAAAACATATATAAACACACATATAACTTAATGTGATAGACACACACATCAACACTAAAAAAAATAGCATATTTGGTTCTTTATTTTATTTTTATTTAATCCAGGTTTTATTTTAAAAAAATATTAATTTAATTAACAATGGGATTATTAACAAAATTAAAAAATTCCATTACAAAATCGGGAAGGTAATTTTTCTCAGGTGGATATTTTCCATCAAAAGGTCCATAGGAAAATTAATTTCTGACCGAATTCCTTTGCATTCAGACATTAGCCGGAAATCATTAATTTTCTATTGCGTTAGTCGCTGCTGTGGAAAGAATCTTAGGATAGTCCCATTCTTCAAGAAGTGTCCGGCGAGGAGATAGCAGGATTAATAAATATTAACGTTAAATATTTAACGGTGTTTTTAATGAAGCAGGTTCGAGTTTAATAATTTAGTTTATTTGATCTTAGCATGAGTGGATTTGTTTTTTCCTCTTTCTAAGGTTCATCAAAATATAATTACATATCATTATTTAAAAATCATATAATGCACTTTAAATGACAAATTTCTAATAATTTCATGATAGTAAGAGAGAGAAGTGGCTTTAATGTTGATGCCTCTTCTCTTGAAATATCGGAAAGGTCTGGAATCGGTGGTGATGAGAGTCGTTTTCTTTGTTTCTTCTCTTGTCCCATGATCATTAAGGAGTCTAATTAATGAAGTAAGAGCTCTTGCCATCATGAAAGCTCTGGAGATGTACATGGCATGTTTCAAACCTTGGAGTAATAATGTGTGTGACTTAGATGCGTGTTAGGGTAAAGTGAAAGGTGTAATTCAAGTGATTAAATTTTTAATTTAATTTTTAAAAATTATTGATTTGAGCTCTATAAATTTTAAAATTATTAAAAATTTAAATAATTATTAATTTTAAAACTTGAAAGATTAATTATATGTGCTGATCCGGATATTATCAATTCTTCCATTTTCTTTAATATGGTAAATCATCGATCGATTTTGGGTGTCATAGTCTTCATCATTCCTGGTCTTTATCCATGTGAAACAAAAACACAGCTCTCCTGGTATCAGGACAAACGACATCTCATAATCATAACTTGTCTTGTGTTCCGGGCAAAATACTGAGGCTGGCCGGCATTAGATTCTTTCCACATTATCGTCAATGGACGGAAATACCAAAGAGAAACTCAAATAATTAATTTTTTTTAATTTAAGGATTTCTTTTCCTTACATATTTTATGGGATATCATTATCGTAAATTTATCATATAAATACTGACAGTAGCACTTATGAAAATGAACAAAAAAAAAAAAACTTTCTTGTAGATTCCAATAAATTGAGATGGTAATTTTTTTATTCGAGTTGAATATTTTTCGTTCTACACTATAAAGCATGGATATGGTAGATGCTTAGCATAGAAGGTAGTTTATTGCATTAATATGAATCGGCTTCACGCATCATGAAAAATTAATATGAAGAATTTTATTATTATTATTATTATTATTATTATTATTGTAGAGGGTTAAATTAGCTTATATGCATCTTGATTAATTCTATAAATTTAAAAATTAATAATTATATAAGTTTCTAATAACCCTGTAATTTGTAATATTTTAATTTATTACCTCTAAATGTAAAAAACTTTCTTGTAGTTTCCAATAAGCTCCCTTGATAATATGCACATCAAAACAAGCAGATCAAATTAAGGCTTTGTTTTTAATTTGGACATATATGCAATACATGAAGAGGTCTGCATAAATGTTAGCTATCCAGACGTTTGAATAGCAAGAAACCATGGAAAAGGGAGTGAAACTTTTTAAGACATGGTCAAGTCCATTTGGTATCCGAATTGTTTGGGCATTGAAGGTCAAGGGCGTCCAGTTTGAACAAATAGACGAAGATCTCGCCAACAAGAGCCCTCTACTTCTCCTATACAATCCAGTTCACAAAAAGATTCCAGTCCTGGTACACGACGGAAAACCAGTTGTTGAATCACTTGTAATCCTTGAATATATTGAAGAGACATGGAAGCAAAATCCCTTGTTTCCAGAGGATCCACTGGAGAGGGCTGCCGCTCGCTTCTGGGCAAAATTTGGTGATGACAAGGTATGTAAATCACTGTGCGTGGAGGTAAATTAATTTAGAGTGCGGATGCATCTTCCATCTTAACACATATTTATTACTGGAAGCATTTTCTTTGAAATTCAGGTTATGCCATCAATATGGGAAGCATTTATCAAGGGCAGAGAAGAGGAAGAGTGTGCTTTTGCACCAGCTTTTGAGAACCTGAAATTCTTGGAGGAAGAACTCAAGGGAAAACAATTCTTCGGCGGAGAGAGGATCGGAATTGTGGATATTGCATTCGGTTGGCTTGCTAACTTGGTCCCTGTATTCGAAGAGATACATGCAATAAAAGTGATAGACGAGGAAAGATTTCCATCACTGTATGCGTGGATGCAGGAGTTTTCCAGGGCTCCATTAATTGCAGATTGCTGGCCGCCACATGAAAAACTAGTCAACAAATTCCGTGCCATTCGTGATCAGTCCCTCCTTGCAGCAGCACCTCATGCCTGAGCAATCAAGTTGTTGCATGTCAGCAAATCATATGGTCTGAACTAAACACAATAGGCTAATGTCTCACACGCTGGTCTAAATTGTGCATCTGCTTGACTGTTAATATTAAGGTTCCACTGCCAGTTCTCAACAGTAAAGGCAATATTGACCTTTTTTAGTTTAAATATATTTATCCTGGTATATTCAGTGTTATTATTTCCATTAAATTTTATAAAATTATACATCTTATATTGATTAATTATTGTGAAAATAAATTTGGTATTTAATCATTTTCTTGAGGCTACCTGATGAACCATTTTTTTTACAATAACAAAATGAAATCATTATTTTTTATACTAATTTTGGAAAGATAAATAAAAATTTCATAATAATAAAAAATAATAAATATTTTTTTATGAAGTTGAATGAAAAATATAAAAATAACCACTAAGTCAGGTGGTGTTTTTACTATACATTTATTATTGTTCACCCTTTATATATTATTGTGGATTCAAGCCCTTTTACTATACATTTATTATTGTTCACCCTATTATTGTGGATTCAAGCCGTAAATATTTTTTAATTTTTATTTTCATTCTAAGACTTTTTTTCTACTCAATGGCATTGTTTTGAACCAAAATTACAATTCAATAGATTTTTATTTTTTTTAAGAAGATTTGAATTGAAAGATAAAGGATCAAACAAAAGAAGGATAGGCAAAATAAGTGGCAATTTTTAATTTCATACAAAAAGTTCAATTTTTTAATTTCATCAAAGTCAAAGAAGAAGAATTTTAATTGGTTATGTTTGTGATTTGGATTGTTCTTTTCTTTTCTTTTCTTTTTTTTGTTTATTGGGTTGATAAATTAATTTCTAAATATTTTAAGAGTTTTTGTAGATATTTTAAGAGTGTTTATTGTGAGTTAGTATTCTTGTTGAATGGAATACTCATGATTCTAACTAAATGAAATTAGGTGCTCGGGTTGGGTTATTAATTAGTATTCTTGGTGGATGGAATACCGACGATTCCTATTGGTTGGAATCGAGTGCCCGGATCAGGCTGTTGACTAATGATTCTTGTTGGATGAAATCTATTGTCTGGTTTAGGCTATGAGCTAGTATTCTTGCTAGATGGAATGTTGGTGATTCCTATTACATGGAATCTAGTGCCTAGTTTGGGTTGTGGGCTAGTATTCTTGTTGGATAGAATACTGGTGATTCATGTTGGATGGAATTTGATTCCAGTTTAGGTAATGATGACTAGTGCCCTAGTAAATGGGATAAGAAAGGAACTTGTGCTCTGGTAAATATGTTAATGGAAGAGCTAGTTATCTGGTTTTGGTGCTGGTGTAAAAAACAATGATTGAAAAATGTGTGGCTAGATTAGTGGCTCGTGTAAAAGTGTTAATGCATGAGTTATGGACTCGTCGAGTCATTAATAAAAAATTGTATAATATTAAATTGTTACAATAAAACTACAATGGTGAAATCATGTTTTTGGTATTAATATTGAATTATTGAAGTTGAATATGTATGAATCTAATCCTCATGAAGGATGAAGATGAAGATTTTGTCGAGGCTTAAAGTTCTAGATTGATATATGGATTTCCGGTTATTAAAAATTTGCTTCAATAAGGCTTTGAAAATGGAAAACCAAGTCAGCCCTGACAATGTGATTATCATCCAAAAACCGACCTATTTTTCATATGCTCACACATAAAAGCCTTCTCAATAGATTCTTATCAAGGGTTTATAATATTTCCTTTAAGATCAAGATGTTAGAAATTGATTTAAAACCTCTCAAAACTCTAGCAAAAACATATAAATACCCCCAAAGTTGAAGGTAGAGAGAGGAAAAAAAGCAAAGAAAAGATAAGGAAAAAAAAGAGAAATATCAATAAGAAACATAAGTGTAGAGCTCTAAGAGCCTAAACAAAAGATTTCTTAACTTTACAAGTTTATGAAAGGAAAACATTTCCAGAAAAAAAAAAATAGAGAGTAGTTGTTATAGGTATACTTTTCTAATCCAAAAATAGGTCCTTTATGGCCTGCTTTTGATTTTTTTTATTTTTTTATATTTATGTTTTTAAGTATAAAAAAGAGATTTAAATACTTAACAAACAATGTTATATACATCTCTTTGTTGTTGTGTTTTTTGTTTAATGATGTTATTTGTGGTATTGTATTTTTTGAGTTGTTAAGTCTAAATTCAATGATGAATTTTGTTTAACATGAAAAATGATAAATTTTGTTTAACATGAAAAGTGTTGTGAAACCTCAATTCTTGAATCAAGTCTAAGCCCAAGTTAGCCCAAGAACCCAACCTAACCTACATATATAATAGTATGTGATTAAAGGTTGTTTCTTTTTTTTTCTTTTTCTTTTTCTTTTTCTTTTTCTTTTCTTCTTTTACCATGACTTTTCTCTCAAAATACCATAGGATTTAGCTCTCTTTAAACTTAAACTTCTGGATTTTAAAAAGAGTTGAAAAGGCAATTATTATGCCTACCTTTTCTATTGTTTTTGATTAGAGATTTGATAATTGATGGATTAAGGAAGTGTTTATAGAGTTTTAAGATGTGCATGTATGCTAACTAGAAAACAAAATACTATATACACATATATTAATTACACTATGTTAATATGGAGTAACTAACTACCTTGCATTAGTCTGGAGTTTTTGACAACGGTCTAAATAAAGTAGTATAATCATGAACTCAAATAATGTGTGTGTATGTGTTTCTTAATTAATATATAGGATGTTATAATATGATATGTAATTATAATATTCATATTTTTTTGTATACTATTTGATATGATACCTCTAGTATACTTGTTTCATTCTCTACTTGATTTACTTGATTTATGTAAATATATTCACTTATCTTAAAATATATATTAGCATATATTATAGTTATTACCTCACAATGAGTTTGGGCCCACCCCTCTATTTATATTTTTCAGGTTTTTAATTCAATTTTAGCAGTATGATTTTTTTTGTTGTATTCTTTTTGCTTATTAAGTCGATATATCTTGTTTGTTTCTTAAAACCATTAGTTTATTTGTTATTTTTCAGGTTTTTAATGCAATTATATTTTGAATTCATTTTGGATTATTTATGAAATAGTTGGATTTTAATTTATTTATTAAATTCCTTAGTTTTAGATATTTTATTTTATATTGTGTTATCTTATAATTTTTATAATATCAAATATATAAGTTATGAGGATTAGCACAGACAAAACACCTTAAAATACTATGTTTGGGATGCGGTCATATACCCGGAAATGGGTTGTACATAATTGGTAGTTTTTGTATACTTACTATTCTGAAATGGGTTGTACATAATTGGTAGTTTTTGTATACTTACTATTCTATGTTTAATGTGATTGGGCCTCAAATTCAAATCTTAATACCCATGAAACCCTTGGAACAGCCTGAGTTAGTGTCCTGTATTTGTACGTTGTCTAATTCTGAATAGACCACCTACCTACGGAGTGGGAGGGATTTTAAAGGTGGGCTTTGCTCGAAAGGTTTGTTGATTTTTGCAATTATATTCCCTTGAGTTGATTTGTTGTGGTTTTAGATAAAAGAGTCTCTCTTTCTTTTCTATGGAATGGTAATTTCTTAGTATTTTTTACTGTCCCTGAAATCTCATTGGATTTTGATAGCAAAGAAAGAAGGATATTGGGGATGGCCACATTTCGGTAGAGTGTTTGTTACCTAAAATCTTCTTGGCACCTTAGTTCTTAAATACCATTCACTTAATATGATTTCCACTTCTGTCTCTCGTCTCAGGCACCACTTATGAGGTATAAGAGGGGATGGACGTGGTGCCATGTGAAAACATCTCTGAAAATACAAGGGAGCCATTCAAAGGCATGCTGTTAGAAACTAAAAGAGCGAGTCTTGACAAGAAAGTTCAGAATCTGTATCGTCGAGTTCTTTCTTTGAAGAGATATTGCTCCCCTAACATGAATGCTGCCAAGCATATGCACCGTGATGCCAGTCAAATTGGAGGCTATGGAAGTGGAATGCATGTATGGATGCCCTCCGTGGTAGAGGATGGTATCATTGAGCACGTTCCAGTTACTCTAATAGAAGAGCTTCAAAAACAATCATGAATAGTAGAGCAAAGGGAATATATTATCAAAGCAAGCTCAAGATACAGATGCATTGGCAAGTTATTTTACTAATTGATTCAGTGCTTTCTCTTTAATGTTTTTGCATTTCAAAAGTATTTTTGAAAAAATTTAAATTTTTTTATTTTTTCTTTACTTCAAATTAACATTTTTTTTAATATTTTCAGATTTGATTTCAGATGTCAAAAATAATTTAAAAAAAAAAAAAACATCATTTTAATGCATTTTCAAGTGAAAAGCAACCACAACCACACTCCTAAAAAGACCCAAATTTATCTAGCTTCCAAACAAATGAACTTATAATCCTACACCTGATGTTACATTAACAACTCTTTTTTTATTTTATTCTATATAAATATTGATTTTTCAATTTACAGTTACATTTTTTTCTTCTTGATATCAAAAAACAAATTAACACTTGTACATTCATTTTTTTGCTTTAGAGAAAAAAAAATATCCGACTTACTAGTGGAGACACCAAACCCCAACTCTAATCATCATATATAACATACGGAGAAGCCTGCCATTCATTTCACATGATATATTCAAGGTTTGAGGAATCAAGAATCAAATCAAAACTACTATGCTCCGACATAGTGAACACTGCACACTCACCAAAGTAACAATGGTATTGTGACATTCAATTCAATCAACCTTCAAACATCATATAAATATTCCACAAAAATAAGTTCCCAAGAAAGAGTTGTAAGGTCATGTCAGAAGTTTTTAGCTATATCTTATGATGCATTCATCATAAACTCGCATTGTTACCTTTCTCACGTGAAATCGAAGCCGAGAGAATGCCAAGATCACGATTTAAGAATGTCAGTGCAGACTCGCACTCTGAAATTATTCTTGTAACAGAAGAGGGCTCGCCAGCTTTTGTTTCAGAAGATCCAACAGCAAGAGCTGCATGCGAATCTCTAAGATTTCTTAAGTTCCCTAGGAACTGCCACAAAAGCAGAAAAAAGTCAATTCCCATGAAAGCATAAATGGCAACTTCTCTTGTTTGCTTGATATAAGTTCAAGCAGAGTTTCACAAATGCTGTGAATGGCTTTAAGCTTAAATGGAACATCTCCATAAATCATTACCACTGATTAGATTATATCATAATAATACAGAAAGCATTATTTTCAGGCTTTTAAACTTTGCTAGTGGGGTCCTTGATAATTTTCTAGCAGGAAAACACATCTGAAACATTTGAGCACAATGTTGAAATACAAAAGGAAAAATAAAAGGAGAAAAACTCAAATTGTTCAAAAACATCTAAGCTAACCATATAAATTCAAATGTATAGCAGAAAATGAATAAAATCTTCACATTGAATTTAACTGGAATGAAAAAAAAAAAAAAGTAAAAGGGAACTTCTAGTTCTAGTTTAAGCCTATGGAAAGGGCATGTTAGGTCTCCATGCTTTGGTGTTTAAGAAAAATGCCTTGGTAGGAAAACAATTGCATGATTTCCCCTGGTGTAGGACCACATTTTCTTTAGCATATGGTGATAGGAAGAATGTAAGTTTCTAATAGAACAGTTGGTATGCCAAGGCTGGGTCAGTGTTGCCTATGCAAGCCCTTCAAAGTTCATCTCAAAGGTTTTCTCTTCCTTTTCTCCTTTGGCAACGAATAATGTTAGTGATACAAGAATCAATCTTTTATTAATGCTTCATGTTTCTAATAAAATATGATGCCCCGATTTTAAATTTTTATTTTAAGGAGATGAGAGTTATTAGCATTTCAACTTTTTCAGAAATTTAAAATACCCTCAACTACTTAGTGCTTCCCCCCACCCTTTCAGTTTCATATGAAGGACGTGCAGAATGTTTCTGATAATGAAGGGGTCTAAGAAATTTACTTACCACATCTTACTCAACACATCTTAATTCCTCTCCTACTCCCAACTGTTTCATTTTTCCACTATTTGGAAGGTCAAGGTGCTGGCTAGAGTTTAAACTTTTGTTTTGTCAGTGGTTCTTGACAAGACACCATTAATGAACTAGAGTCCACATGAGCTCATCTCCCTGAGGGAGGGATCTTGAAAAATATAAACTGAAGGAGGTGAATTCTTATAGGTCATAGTTTTATATAATGATGAACTATTGTGTAGTGACATGAGTGAATAAAGTGCTGATAGGATTCAGAAGTATTATTAAATTGATACCATGCAACCTTTCGAGAAGATCAACATGAAAAAAATGAAATGATGCTGATATACCTTCCAAAGCATCTTGTATGCCTCCAACAACCGGTTGGCAGCTGGTCCAAACCCATGAAGCTGTGGCACTTCCATCATGTGCGTCCAAGGGCGTATTTCCTATGGAGGTTAAAAAGAACATGTTACAGTTATAATGTAGCAAGAGTACACTTCCACTCATTATCATAGACTTCAACACCAACATGCTCAAGCATAAGTTTTCAAGACTAAAGTTCTATGCTGAAAACAGTAAAAATGTCGACAAGTTAAAGATTTGAGAGAGTTTCTACTGAAAATGTCTTAAAGCGTGTCTATGAAGAGTCATAATCAACCAAACAAAGAAATATAACAAATGGGCATACCAACTAACAACAACAGATGCATGAAAGAGATCCAGCATGATGTAGAAAAGTTTTTGTTCAGATATATTCAAAGGGAGTAGAGAAACCTCAGAAATAAATTGAATGATCTTGAAGTAGGCATGGCAATTTAATTTGAACCCAATGGATACTGATCTGACTTTTTAATACAATATGATAAATATAACTTAATATTGACATAGAACACATGTATATGTATAATATTTATTATTTTATCATTTCATATACATACATACATACATACATACATATATATATATATATCAATGATTGTGTTTTTTATTAAGTAATTAATAATAGTCAGATAATGAATACCCATATGAATACCC